CCAATAATAGGTTTTGTTAACTATTCCGAAATGTCTTATTTTATCTAAGAGAATATAATGATCCACTGTATCAAATGCTTTTGATAAATCAAAAATACTTCTAATCTAAACTTATTTGATTATTATTTGCAAAACCATTAGTTATTTGATTTTCAATTTCAATAATTGCATGCTCAGTTGAAGGATTTTTTTAAAAACCAGACTGATTCCGGTAAAAAAAAATTGTTTTTAATAAAGTAATCATAGATTTTATTTTAAACTACACGTTCGAAGAGTTTTGAAAATACAGAATATATTGATATGGGTCTGTAGTTTCTAATGTCAGAATGATCATTACATTTGTATAAAGGAGTTACGTTTGCTAATTTAAGTACATCCGGAAAAATCCCAGAATTTAACAAGAGCTTTAGTATATATATCAGAGGCCTATTAAGACTGTGTTTGTTTGCAATAACTATATCACTAGGTATCTCATCAAATCCTGTTGCTTTTTTTTTTTAAAAAAAATGGGAAAAGCTGCCTCAACTTCGTCATAGCTTAATTCGTGATCATGCATTATAACGTTATTTGTGGGTTTAAGATTCAGATGTTGGTATCATTTTTTTTGACAAGGTTCGAAACAATATTTATTGAATTCATCCGAGATGAGTTTTTGAAAAAATGTATTGTTGTTTTTAATTACAGTTCGTTTAGGTAGTGAAGGTGAATTTAGTTTTTCTCTTCCCATTATTACATTAAGGATGGATATTTTTTACTATCAAATTTATATTTGTTAATTTGATTACTGTAATTTTATTTTTTTGGCATTTTTAATGAGATCTTGATAAAAATATTTATAACTTTTGTAATTTTTTTCATTATCATTGTTTTTATTTTTCAGAAATTTATTGTAAAGTTTTTGCTTTTTTATTTTGAGCACTTTGATAATGATTTATCAATCCTCGGATAAGCCAGAGCTTTTGACTTAATTTTTATCTCTTGCGTACAGGTTTCGTTAAAATACTCCAAAAATGTACTTAAAAAAACGTTGTAAGCTTCATTAGTATCTTGACATTTATATACGTTGTAATTACTGATCAAATTGACCATGCCCTTTCTTTCTACCCCTCTACCAATATTGTTGTTATTGGTGTTTTTAATTCTCATTACACTGAATGGCTTGACTTAAATAGCTTGACTCTAACACAACTGAACCTGGAATTAAAGCCCATAACCTCTGAATTTCTCAATCTCTTAATAAGATATTTAGCTTAGTGACCTATTTTCTAGACAACCCTAATCACTTACCTTCACTCCTTGATTTGTGTCTTGTCTCTGACTGTTGTGTTCAGCTTCTCCTTTTTCTTCCTTAGGTGGTTTCAACCATGTAAGGATCTCTAAAAATCTTTCATCCCATACTTCTTTTACGGACTCCCTTATTATTGCACTCCTTACTTCTACCCTAAAGTTAACTAAAGTTATTTTCGTGATTTTCTTTGTAACGGCCATTGGGATGATATGTTTTTTTTCTCCGCTGATAAAAGCCCCTTCTATGTAACATCGAGGCAGAAATTAGAAGTTTTCTATCCGTCGGTTTCAAGTCAAGCCTCATGGTTTTCGGTCTTTAGTGCAGCTGCTATATCTAATCGTGATCATTTTTTTTTTAAATCGTTTTTAAAAGAATAATTCACATGAGAACAAACTAATATTATTATTATTAGAAATTGAAGTTAAAAAGTGCTTTTTTGATGCTAAGATCCATTATTTCCAGTTCACTTGTATTTTATCTCAAAACTTCAAAAAACTTCAAAAACCTCAAAACAATCTCACTTGTATTTTATCTCAAAACAAAACAACTTGTATTTTATCTCACTTGTATTTTATCTCAAAAGTTCTCTAGAGACTTTTTCAAAATCTTCAGCATTGATTAATAAATTTCTAACATTCATGGAACTTTTAAAGATTTTCAGCAGAATGATTAACAAAACTCTAACATTCATGGAACTTTTTTATTACCTCTCCATAATATAAGGAATTACTATTTGCAAAAAACTTTTATAATTCAACTCCTGTTTAAATCTAATGGCCATACTCTTCCATTCCAGTTAAACAAGATAACCAATTGTTTTTATAAATGTTGTCATAGTCACTGCTATTGTCTCTAGTTCCATCAACCAAAACTCATTTTTGTTTGACTCCTTATTCAGCAAAGTCTCATTCTTTTACTGTATTTGTTTTATTTGTTATTATTTTAAATTTTTATTTATCTAAACTTTTCCCTGCACTTAAACTTCCTCCCATTTTTACGTTTTACTGACTCATACAACCTAAAACAATGTATATATATCTAATAAATAATTAAATGAAAAAATACGACTTTGGCTGGTACTTAGGGTTTTATGCCTAACCGCCAGGCATGAATGTCTGATCATATCCGATCTATTACATAAAACATTTATTTTCATAATATTGATCGCTGTTAAACGAACAAGCGAATTTTTTGTATATTATTATACAAAAAACATTATACAATATCTATCTATCTATCTATATATATAATAAAAGTTTGTTGATTTCCGCAGGGTTTTTTGTTTCAAAACAAACTTAGTAAAAATTTTGCATTGCATTACTAAATCGATAAAAAAAGTAAAGTGAAAATTCAGTTTTTTATAAAAAATACTTAGAACTTATAGATTAAATTATGGAAGCAAAAAAAAAAAAAAAAAAAAAAAAAAAAAGTTAGAACAGCTACATAACACATTAAAAAACATAAGTCTATTAAACTCAAAAACAAGCAAATTAAAATACGTTAAAATACTAAAATAAACTTTAAAGAATAAGAATAAACACGCACATCCTAAAATGTTTGTTGGTCAGCCGGTACTTACATTTGTAATAGAAGATATATTTCAAGATAATAATCATCGTTCTAAAGCAGTAAAATTATGTGCTACCAATTTTTCTATTTTCTGCTGATACTCCAAAGACAAAAATAAAATTCTTAACAATACAAACACTAGTGAATTCGCTGCCAACATTTGACCTTTTTTAAAAATTTGATGTTTATCCTGTTATAAATAAATTCAGCAAAGAAAATACCACATCACTATCGGTCTGAAAGCACTGACCAAACCAATCAAAATCCAACACTATCTACAAAATCTCTTTAATCAGTAAAGGAATTATTTAAAAAAAAATAAAATATTTACGGCAAAGGTTAAGAAGAAAACTAGTTCTTTAAAAGGTTACCTTATTAAAATCTAAAAACGTTTTGACTACGCTTGATGCTGCAGCTATTTTATGCGATAAATTTATGCACTCTTTTATGAAATCATTAAAAATTAATTTTCCAATCAAAATGTTAAATCGAAAGTTCACAGATACAACGAAATAAATAAGAAAAATGGCTTGACATGTGCCAGTTCAAAATCAGGTTTATTCCATGATGCTTCCTTGGTGATAAATATAAAAAAGATTTTATTTTAAAATTTTGATTGCTGTAGTCTTATTATTGGGAATCAAAAACAGTATAACTTACGTCAAACGTTTTGGTCATATCATTGTTTTTTTGTGAATTTGGTAAGGATATTACTGAATGTGAAGAGAGGTATTAGCTTTTGTTAGTTGGTTTGCAAGGGCATAGAAAACACTCATTGGTTTACTACCGGTCACTATCAAATAAAGATAAAGCAAGTGATTAAACATGCTTGTTATTAAATGTTTTGCTAATATATATTTTATTAAACGTAATATATGTAAAAAAGTAATAAAAGTAATATATGTTTTATCAAACAGTTTACTAAATGGTGAATATTACCTAGGAATTAGGATATTCAGATCTGCCCTGTATTTTACCACTAGTGCTAAGAAAACCGTCATTTTGCCCGGTATAAAAATGACTCCAATAACGCATTACGTAATAACAGACTATAATTAAAAGTGATTCCTTCCACTAGAGCAACACTTTTCCCCGCATAGAAAATTATTTTTTTTAATGAAGAGTCAAATTTTAAAAAGGGGAATTTATTCAGTTCCTAAACTTTCACTGAAAACTGCTGTCTACTTCGTACCTGTTGTTTGCATCGTATTTATATTTTTGAAACACGAACCTTTTAAATAAGACTGCTGCGTGGTGAAACAGATCAAGCGGTGCTAACATTAGCATTCGGTTAATTTGAACTTCGAACTTCTTGATAGTGAGCTGAGTGTTCTAACACTAGCCTGCTTCTTACCACTAGTCTGCTTCTGAATCTTTGACTAACTTAAATAACTGACTAATCATAATAGACGAATAAAATCTTTTTTTATAAAGAAAAAACTTTCAAAATTTATTATATTGATTTTTTAATGCTTGATCACAAAATCTTTTTATTGTTGGTATTAGGCAATTTACATTTTATATCCAATATCTTAATATTATAAAAATATTGGATATAAAATGTAAATTGCTTAATACCAACAATGAAGTGATCTTGTGATCAAACATAAAAGACCAGAATAACATTCTAGAAGATTTTTTTAAATGAAATTTAAGCGTTTTTCTATTAAGCAGGCAGTATAATATTATTTACATTTCTTCCTCTTTTTTCTTCGATTTTAACAAATATATTCAAAATACTGAAAAATATATTTGCTTAAGTTAATGTTTTGCTTTAAATATTTCCTCCATAATTCAATATTAGACATTACAGCCGATCTGCAAATATGAACAACTAAATAACAATCGCTAAATAAAATTAAGAAACCATTTTTTATTTCAAATACTCATACTCGAGAATGAGTATTTGAAACAAAAAATGTTTTTTAAATACGTTTTCTGAGTACTCAGAAAACGTATTAAATAACATCTCGTTCTATATATATATGTATATATACATAAGTATATATACATACATATATATTAAAAAAATTCAATAACTAAACTAAAAGCGTATCATATCATATTCACACATCAGTGTATATTACACTGTGTACGTGTTGTTTAGAATGTTCATAAAACAGAAAACTAACACAAAAACAAATTTTTAATAACAAACAGATTAATTATTAAAAATTAATCACAAATTTATCAAAAGAAAAAGATTATTTACAAAAAAGGTTGGCTACATTAAAAAAGTTCATGAAAACCTTGCGCCCGTGTCTAATAACTATCTAACAAATCAATAACATACGGATTTCCACTGAGCATGGCGTGCTTTTTAATCAAATCAATTTCAGCGATTATTTCTTCGTCACTACGGTTTTCAGTCGGTATATTTTTAAGTTTCATCAGTAACTCTGATATTATTGTTTCACTAGCCTAGTATATATATATATATATATATATATATATATATATATATATATATATATATATATATATATATATATATATATATATATATATATATATATATATATATATATATATATATTCATATGCAATTGTATAATGTGCGTACATATCTATATCTATTTATATATGTGTGTATGCAGGTGTATGCTGTATTTTTATTTTTTAGTGCATACCCAGTAAGATCAATATACGTAGACAAAAAATTAGACACGAGAATTACACTAGCATAACATTTTAACGTTTTACTTAAATCTTAAAATCAAAATCTAAGCAATGAAAACTTCTTTTAATTGTCACTAGTAAAATTTTAGTTCCAAGCAGTCGCGTAATCAGGAAAAAAGATCAACTATTGTTTAGCTTAACATTTCTATGTTTCTGTAAAATGACCAATTCGCACCAAATGTGTATCGCAAGAATTTTCTTATAAACTAAAAAACGGATATCCATTTAATGCAATTTATAGGAAGCCATAAAACATTTAACATCCATAAAAAAACCTTTCCAAACTTAAAAGAACAAATTAAGTCAAATTCTTTCAAATTTAACTAGAATTTGCGAAGAAGTTATTAAGATTCAATTGTCTTAAAAGTTTTTTTTTTTAGTTTTCATAACAGTTGTTTTAACAAGGAAATCCGAAACTAAAAAACTTTTGGAAAACGTTATACTAGAGTAATTCACAAAATTTAAATAGCAATAAAGATATATATTTTAAACTGACTTTTTTATCCATTCTTCTTCTTTTGGCAACATCTTCTATGGTAGAATCCTCGCCAAATGCTAAGAGATATTTAAAGCATTATGAGCTACAGCAAACATTAAAACATGAATGATTAGATTCCTAAAAAATTATACCATCTGAATCCCCATTACGATAGACGTGAAAATCCTCAAGTTCTTTGGCTTTTTGTTTTGCAAACTCAATGACGTGCTTAGGAAAGTCAGCAATTTCAGCCACGTGGATACCAAAACTCTGATCGCAAACACCCGGTTTAACTCTATACAATAAAGTTAGCCTATCGCTGGTAGTCAGTGCCGTTACATGAAAGTTTTTAACGGTTGATATCTCATCAGCAAGAGTTGTTAATTCGTGAAAATGAGTAGCAAATAGACAAAATGCATTTATCTTTGTTGCTATATATCTAAAAACATTGATCAAAACAATACACTGATGTTTAAAAAAAACCTAATAATCAACTAAAGAATTTGTTATTTACTAACTCAGAAATCGCCCAAGCCAAACCAAATCCATCATAGGTTGATGTACCTCGACCAAGTTCATCAATAATTATCAATGAGTTTTTATCAGCTGCCTAAACCACCATACAATAAAGTTCAACAAACTAAAACGCGTGCGTTTTAACACAAATACATAAACACTAAACACGCAAATACGCCTTAATTGCAGGCAATAACTAACGCAAATTGATTACGTAAACCAGTCAATAACAACTATTGTAAAAAAAAACTTATACAAAAACATTGAATTTACAGAAAAATTTCACCAAATGAAATGAAGACATAAATCCTAAAGAAAAGCTATTCATAAAATCAAACTCAATTTTTCAATGTTTAAATTTTTAATTATTAAATAATTCATCGTTTATAAGTTATTTCATAAAAAGTATCAATAACGTTTGTTATTTATGCGATCGAAAAAAATAAATAAACTTATTTTAAAAGCCACCACTTACGTTTAATATAGAAGCTGTTTCCAGCATTTCCGACATAAATGTAGAAACTCCTTTCATTTGACTGTCACCTGCACCAACTCTTGCCATAATGCTTTTTACAATTGAAATTTCAGCTTGATCACAAGGCACAAAACTTCCTATTTGCGCCATTAAAGTAATCACCGCAATCTTAAATAATTACATTAGGAACGCTATAAATATACTATATATATATATATATATATATATATATATATATATATATATATATATATAATATATATATATATATATATATATATATATATATATATATATATATATATATATATATATATATATATATATATATATATATATATATATATACGGTGTATATTAAAAAGAAATCATTCAAATTTACTTGGCGGATATAAGTTGATTTTCCACCCATATTTGGCCCGGTTATAACCAGAAATTCGGCTTCTTCTAAAATATTTTGTATAGGTTAAATAGACATTATATAGATTAAATAGACTTTCTTATACTTTAAAATCTAAAGATAAGAAAAAACAATTACAAATGAAAAAGATCAAATTAATTTTTATCTATTTACATGAATATCATATCTTGCCGCCTTTTATACTAGTCGGTAATCAGATAAAGACTATATTAATTTCAATGTTGAAAATATGCACATAAAAAAGTAAATATATAGTATAAGAATAATAATAACATTAATAACAATGAACAAAATTTTCCGGTTTGGGTCGTGTAAGACTCGGCATAGTAACAAAAAAAAAAATCGGCATAGTAACAAAAAAAATTTTTTATGAAAAACCAGAAATTTATTAAAAAAAAATCTTTAGGAGGTGATGTCTGCAAAGTGCCGAAAATCTGCCTGATGAAAATCATTACAGAAAAAAAAAAGATTTTTTAGTTTACGAATAATATTTAATATATAAACGTAAGAAATAAGCAAAACAAAAGCATTTAAAGAATGTGTTAGTGAAAAATTCGAATTAAGATTATCACCTGCAACAAAATTCTCTTTTTCGTTTATAATTAATGACGCAGCGCACAACAAAAGAATTCTTTTTTTTCTTAAACTGTAAGCCACATCTGTGTGCAATTTAAAAGGGGGTCGTTAAACTTTCTTAAATATAAAAAAAGAAACAAAAAAAATTACTTAAAGCCCCCTGAAAAATACTTATTTTATAAACAAAGCCCAATTTTTGTAATGAATTTTTTCCATATTTCGCTTTTACAGTCCAATTTATTGCTTGATTAAAATCCTTTTTATGATAAACTATTATTCTTTTTTATATATATATATGTATATATGCATATATATATATATATATATATATATATATATATATATATATATATATATGTATATATGCATATATATGTATACATATATGTATATGTATATGTATATGTATATATATATATATATATATATATATATATATATATATATATATATATATATATATATATATATATATATATATATATATGTGTGTGTGTGTATGTATATACATATATATATGCATACATATATATATGTATACATACATATATAAATATACACACACACAAACACACACATATATAAATACTTATATAAAGTCGATAAAAATATGATAAAAATTTATTACAGTCTACTAACATATACGATGTCAAAATTTATATCTGGTTTATTAATTCGTACTTGATAAATCAAAACAAATGTCTGGTTTAATCAATCGTACGACCTTGTATCCTCTTCATCTTCGATCATCAACGATTTTTGCCGAAATAAAAGGCTTTACATCAAGAACAACAGCAATTTTAACTTATTACAACCATAATCGCACTAATATCGAAGGTCTTTTTATTTTGCCACTGACGCATAACAGTACCATAGTGGAGTTCGAATGCTTAGTGGAAGGTCACTATATATCGGCTAGCATTAAACACAGTAAAGAGATAGAAAATAAAGAAATCTTATTTGGTAAAGAACAGATGCACGACGACGTGTTTAATATTTGCATCGGCAATATAGCCCCATGGGTTTTGGTGGAAATTCAGGTGACAATAGTTAGTGAATTATGCATGACATTAAACGGTGACGCTCTTCATTACAAACTACCGCAAACATTCTCTCCTAAAATCGTTACAGAAGTTGATGTAAAACATGCTTATAAAATGAGAGCCGAATCTACTTTAGGATATAGCTTTCAAATCGAAATGCTTATTGAAGCACCGTGTTTGTTATGCGGTATTCAATCAAACACTCATCCTATACAAGTTGATGCGCCTCCCTTTTCTCTATCTGGATCAAAACTTCGGGTATCATTACCAGAAAACTACACTCCATCTGACAACGTATTTGAACTTGTAATGTTTTTGTGCCGACCACGAGAACCGTATATATTTATTGAAGAACCAAGTGAACAAAAAAACGCAAAAATTAAAACAAATCCAATTAGTAACATTATGAATAACCCAATATTAATGCTGAGCTACTCTCCGGAAATTTTAAATCAGTATGACGAACTAAACCACGAATCTCCAATAGAGCAGATTGGCGAGTTCCTTTTCATTATTAATTGCAATATTATTAACGACATGTTAAAAAACGATTTAAGAGATAGTTGGATATTATTAATGAAAAGCCTTCCTGAAAACTGTTACTTTAATGTATTTCATATAAGTAAACAACCACTATTCTCTTGTTCCCAGGTAAACAATGAAGAAAATCATATTGCAGCAATTGAGTACATTGGAGTGGAAACGAATATCCAAAGACCACCATCCTTACTTGAAGCTGTTGAATGGCTTTATAATACAGATGAAATCGAACATGTTCCTAAACAAGTATTGCTGGTAACTTTGGGTAACTTGTTCCAATGCAAAGAAACATTAGAAGTAGTAAAAAAAAAAAATTACAAAGCTCGGTAACTATCATCTATATATTTTTATCCTATGACTTAAATTTTTTTTTCTGTTACTCAGAATTGTCGTGTTTTGTTCACAGTATTTCATAGTACAAATTTAATTTTGACTTTTTAAAAAAATTGCAATATAATAAATACAAAATTATAGGATTTTTGTATTTTGCATGGAAAATGATAATGAAATCTTCTTTCTACAAAAACTTTCTCATCTTACAAAAGCAAAAAACTACACATTTAACGAAAAAGAAAACTTACAAGTTAAGGTAAGAAGCTCCCTATCCAATTTTTTATGTAGCATTTTGAAAAAATTAATTTTCATGAAAATTTGTTATATATAATTGTAATTTATAATATATAATAGTTCTGAGTCGTTTTCAGCTTAATAATAAAAATTTCAAAAAGAACTTTTCATAGATTATTGAAGGTTTAAACAGCGCTCTTCAACCAGCTATCACTGACCTTAAAGTGTCATGGATCTTACCAGATGCATACGACGTTATCTATACACCAGAAAATTTACCACCTCTTTATTATCAAGATCGCTTGAACTTGTTTGCCATTCTTGCCACAAAAGAAGATGATGAAAAAGATGAGGAGTCTGGTAACTCTATAAAAGAATTTTGGTTTGAAGATTTCTATCCCATAGAAGAAATTGTTTTTGAGCCCTACGTAAAAAGAGACTTTCCGTTAGAAAACGAAAAAATATCAGACAAATATAACGTATGCACATGTTTAGACAACGAAAATGAAGTATTCTTGACTGAAGATGAAGTTAACAAACTTCATGAAAATACTTTTGTAAAAAAAAAAAAATCAATGGAGAAGATACAGTCGTGGAAAATTTCAAAACACCCAGATGAAATTGATGATATTTTAGACAAAGAATTAAATAGTAATTCCGATATTAGAAAGCTTTATTTACAACAACATGACTTAGAAAGGTATCTTAGAAATAAAAATGGTGATAGTTCTAAAAGCACAAGCAGTATTAATTCGGATACATCTAACACAAGCAGTCTTTTCTTTTCCTTTCCAGGTTATCCAACTAGGTTAAGCTCTTGTCGTAGTCTTGATACACGATCACCTCATGTGTCAAAATACTTTGATGATGAAATTCCTGAGGACTTGATAAGCCAAACACTTATTTTAAATGATAAAGTAAAATGTAAAAAAATAACTCAAGCCTTGATAAATGAAAATGCTAACACTCATATACTTGATTATTCAAATGAAGATTTATTATCTCAATTATTAGAAAGTGAAATAAGTGAGAAAAGAAGTCAATTACACGAATGGGTTAATCTTCAGGAAGAAATGATACAGTGCACATGGCCTAAAACCTTCCAAAAAAAAAAGAGCAGTGAATGGCGAGACAGTGGTTTTGGGAGATACTCTTCTACTGATCAACGTTCTAGCGACTTAGAAGATGATGTTCGAAGAAAAAGTTTTTCACAATCTTCTAGTGGCTATTCAGAAAATGAAGACATAAATTGCATTGTAGATAGGTGCAAAATTATAGAACAAAAAAAGAAAACTTTATCAAATCCTCACATCGAAAATTTAGAAGACCAACAACCAAAAGAACCATCAGTAGAAACTAACAGAAAAAACTCTAAACCAAAAGTAATAATAACATCATTCATTAACAAACTACGATCATTTGTAAATACGGTCTCAGAAAAGTCTAAAAATAAAACACCATCTTCTGATAGTATAACATCACTTCCACAAACATTGAAAAAAAAGTTGCTTAGTCGCACAACATCTAATGCAGGTAATATGACTTTAAAAAAAGAAACTGAAAATGAAAACGACTTAACACAAATATTAGAAGACTTAATAACAAAGGAAACAACAGGTAAACATCTGAGTAAATCAAATAAAAAGCGATCTGTCAGTAGAAATCCACCTATAATTGAAAACTCAAGAACATTTAGTTCTTCATCTATATTTGAAATCGGACAATCTGAAATCGGAGATGTTAACAACTTGCAACTGCATCCAACTCAAGCTCTTATATATTTATCAGGTCAACTAGGAAAGCATCCGTTTAAGAGAATTATACCTTTTCAATTACATTTCAATACTGTACAAAACTCAAGTGAATTGAATAAAACAGTGATGCATCAACTTGCGGCAAAATCAATAATTAAAGATCTCGAGATGCAACTTGATGATGAAATATTTGGTGAGCTTTTACATAAATTTTTTCTTAAATTAAACACAAAATTCTTTTCTTAAATTAAACACAGAGTTTAATATATTTTTTTTGAAAAATAATTTATAAGTATTTTTAAGTTAACTTTATAAGTTTATGTTTTTATAAGTTAATAAACTTATAAGCTTATAACTTTATAAGTTTATAAAGTTAAGATAGAATACTTCAAAAAATTTATATAAAAAATGTCTATTTTCCATAAAAACAATAAAACCTAAATCAAAATGCATTAATTGTTTGAACCAAAATTTTTCATTTAAATTTAATATCATTATTTAATCAGGGAATCTAAGATTAATAGAAAGAGCAAATACTTGCAGCTTTTTAAAATGAAGTGAACACAAAATATCTTTTAAAAAATGAAATAATCCTTCAGCATTAAGAAATCAAAAAAGTTATTTAACCGTCCTACTATAAAATAATGACTTTCTATGTTATGTCCCAAAGAAATTTGATTTAAATTTTATCACAAAATCTTCAGCATAATATAATGAGTTTTAAAAATATAATTTTTTGCATAAAACCTAGCATAAAAAACAAACAAACATGATTTTGTTTTTGTTGGGTCATTTCTTGTACAAATATTTTGATTTTCATAATACCATTCATAACACCATAAAGAAATTTAACATGAACTAGTTTTTTTTATAACATAATAAATCTAACATTATGTGTTAAGCTATCAGATATAAAACATAAAAATATTTGTCTAACCTTCAGTATATGTCTTGCATAATTAACTACAGGGTATATTATACATTGTTATTTTAAATATTTGTTATATTAATTTTATTTTGCAACAAGAAATCTTTTTGTCATGTAGTCTTAAAATATTCTACTGTTGGTACATCTAATTTGTAATAATTGTTTTGTAATGTAATATTTGTTATAATTTTTTATAACTTGTAATAATTGTTTACAAGCTCTTTATTAATGTGCAGCTACTATCTAAAAATAGATCTTATCTAAAAATAGATCAATGCCAATGATTTGAAAATTAAAATTAAGAAGAATTAATTAGAATTAAATCTGTTTTTAACATGAGTTAAAAACAAATTTAAACATTAGCAGCTCTGGGTTATCAAAATGAGTACTGTTAACCAAAGTCTCCATAACAATAAACTTGTATGTCATTCTCTGAATACTTTGATAGCTCTATCAATCAAATAGATCGTGTATACACATAGATCTTGTGTACACACATATATTTAATAAAAAATCAATTGAACACATATGGTTGTCCATTTTTGATATTTTAAATATAAAAATATACCATAAACATTTTTATATATTAATTACTTTTTTATATTTTATTTGAAAAGCTAGTTCTATAATTTAATAAATAACTAAAAGAAAATTTCACTTTGATTGCTATTATTCATTTGATTGCTATTATTTCTACAGTGTAATTTATTTTTCAACTTGATCACATTTTTCAGTTAAAAGACATTTTTCAACTTTAATGCAAAACAATTTATTACAAATGATAACCAAAAAATAAAATATAATCCAATAAAAATTATTTAAGTTTTTTTAATATAATTATATAATGATTTTGAAATAGCAATATCCTCCAAAAATATGTAAATGTGCTGGAATTTCACAAAATGATAAAAAGTGACAATTTTGACAAAAATTTGTACTAGATTCTCATTAAGTATTCCAGCTGTAATATAATACAACTTTAGGACACAATACTTTAATTTATTTTTAAACTGAACTTCTTGCTTATGAGGCTAGCGCTTTATGACTACACTATCACCACACATTGGTCACAGTATGCTGTTAAGTAAACAAATACCTAAATATGAAGTCAACCCTAGCCAGATTTCAATGCAATAATGGATCATTTTACTGAAAGTTGAACTTCTTTGTTTATAAACAAATATTTATTTTAACCTTTTGACTGCGGCAACCCACGATTATGGCTTTTAAAGTCATCTTCAAAACTATGCGCTAAAACATTGGTTTTTATACAAATAAATGAGCGATTGTTTTTAACTGTTTTTGTTTTCTTTAATTTAATTTTACTTAAAATATTTTTTAGTTGATTTTTTCAAAACATCTTATAATTTTATTGCACAGTCAAAGGGTTAATAACTAAATCTTTGTCTTTCAGCAGTTTGATAAAATGAAACCGCATTAGAATAAGCAAGATATATTTTTTTGCATGTGTTTCATACATTCAAATATTCATAAAGCTGCTATTATCATCTTAAAAATGAATAATCAGCAGTCAACTAAATAATCTTATGACAACAAGAATGCTTACACCACTCACTCTGATGGCTACATGAATGCTTGTAACAACGTAGCTGCTCAAATAAAAAACTGGTCTTTTTGTTACAGTCTGTTCTTTTTGTTACAGTTTTTGTCAAGTTTACAACCGATTTAATTATATATTATTATAACTATTTTAATTTTATTTAACATTTAATTTAATTTAACATTACTTTAATATTTTAATTTATAGCATTAAATTTTTATCATTAAATTTTTTTTTGTATTTCTATAGAAGCAAAAAGTCAAATGTATATCAAATCACTTATTGCAGAAGTAAGTGTTGCAGCCCATATACCATCAAAATACACAATATTAACTTTGAATGATGACAAGTGCAATGAAAAACAAATAACTAGCATATGTACAGAAAGCACAGAAAAAGGGTAAAACACTTTTTTAAATATTAGTAACTATTATAAAGACACAGAAAAAATCATAATATTATACATCTCAAAATTCAAGACCAATTTTGTGGATTGTAGTGTTTTTCAACGAAATCTGCTTTATTTCCTCTAAGCCAGTTTATAGTTGTACTAGAGTAGTGACATAATGCTAAATTATGCCAAAATAAGGAATTATCTGTATAAGTTCTTATAAACAACAAAAAACACTTCTTAAGGCATTCTTTGATGTATATTTTGGTGTTAATTGTTCCTCTAGTCACAAAATAAAAGCTTCTTTCATCACATTTACTAATTGCTTACTTAACTAAGAATTTTTAAACCAATTTTTGCATTCCAACACATTTATATTTGGAATTCAGTTCAATAATATTGGTGTCCTTGAAATGATTGGAACTATGCAACATAATAAGTTTCATCAATAATCAAACAAGATTTTTAGCACATAATTTTTTATAGAGCAGCTTTGAACAATGAATTGCAAAAGTTTCTTTATGAAATGGATCTTTTTATAAGATTTATCGCCACTTTTTCTTCACTCTAGGTATAATGAAAGCATCTGTATTAAATCAATTTGCTAAAGTTTTAACAGAAATGTCCAGATTTCTAAGGCATCTGTAACTTTTTAAAAATAAAATTGCATCAAAAACTTTTTTCTTCCACTTCTTAATTTCCTTGAATGCTTCCATTGAAAAAAAAAAAAAAAGCGAAATATGCCTGGCAACACACTGAACCATCATACATTGCATGAGTGATTGAGTAGTTATCAACCAATAGAAAAAATTCCTAAATGTTCTATAAATATCAAAATCATATAACTCAATCATTATTATCTTAGAGTATACAACAACACTTAGTAAAATTGCTTTTGATTGTAGTTAGAAGATGCCAAGGACTTAAATAATTGATCGTATTGTACTGTTATTAATATTGTGATGTTGTTATATGTTTTAATATTTGCGATTGCCTCGAATTTTGAAAAGAACACAAGGATAAGACTGTTAAAATAGAGTAACATTTCATGTTCTCAGATGTTTGTAGTGCACAAAGTAGAGTAACATGTCATGTTCTCAATGTTTGTAGTGCACGTTTGTGAATGTTTGCCAGCAACCAACCAAACTCACACTACAATGCCTGTTACATTACATTTCCTGTTAAGCAATACCTAGCAACTATGATTTGGGATAAACGGTCATGCTGATTTATAACTTTTACAACAAGATGAAACAATTCTGCAATTTATTTAGAAATTTTGAGTAACATTGTGACCAATTGATTCCAAATAAGAAAGTTTGATAATTTCATGCACAACAGAGCAACTTGATATGGCTGCCTAAATTAAAAACTATCAAAAACTATATGGTAAAATTAAAAGCAGATAGTTTTAAACATAAGTTAACCTTAAGCAGATCTGAGAAAAGCTATAATAAAAACATGCCATAAAATAATGCTCGAATATTGTGAATAATTTACTCTTATATGTTAATGATGTTTTTGGAATTAAAATGATTTTAAGTAATAAATGCATATACTATACGATACAAAAACATTTTTTTGCTATAAATATCAAGTGGCCAGATCATTTTAGCAACAACATTTTCAAATCTAGACTAAACATTTTCTAATACAAAAATTCTTAAGCAGTCATCAGAATTGGGTTGGCTTTTGCTGACCTAACCTTTTGCTTTTGGGTTGACAATGCTGACCTAACTGCAGACCTAAATATGTCTGAAGTCAGAGATAATTTGATGACCTTGTTTCTATGTTGCTATGGTGAAACTTTTGTGCTATTTTATGGTAACCTGATGCTGACCAAAAATAGTTTAAGGAAGGATATAATTTGCCAACATTATTTTTCCTAATTCCGAGGGCTAAATTTAAATATTACTATTAATCCAAGTAAAAGTTGTAACAACTTTGAAACTGAATAAAAACTACAACTGGTGTATATATACATATATATATATATATATATATATATATATATATATATATATATATATATATATATATATATATATATATATATATATATATATATATATATATATATATATATATATATATATATATATATATATATATATATAAACGGATTTCCCTGAGTTACCTAATTTTTATGATGAAAAAACAAACTCTAACTAGTAATCAGTCTATTTATGTACAATTAAGGCTTTAATATAACCACTGGTTACTTAACCAAAAATAATATATTTTAAACACTTGTGTATTTACGATTTATTTTTATAAAGCAATAAAACTTCATTGTTAAACATCTAAGGACATTTATTCTATTGAATAAATCAACTAAATTTTTATGCATTATAATTCATTATAATAAATATAATCACTGTTGAAAAAAAAAATAGTTTGTTACATTTTATTTTAGACATGAAATGCAAAAGAAGTTAAACTACATCACAAACTCTACCAAAATATGGCAAATGATCAATCCCCTTACATCAATAACAAACCATAACAGAATAGTCAAAAAAAGTTTTATAAACTTAATAGAATTAATGCAACATGATGGAAGTTGGGTACTTAGCAATACCTTAGCAAGCATAATTTCTGTGAACTTTATACAGCTACAAGAAAGCTGCCCGTTTGAAGTCTGTAGAGAACAGATAAATCAATTCGAAAATTATGAAAACATATGGACTACTGCAATTGCATTGTCATGGCTTGATATGTTTTGGAAATCGACATACTCTCACTGGATATTAATAAACCAGAAATCAATGCATTGGTTAATGAGACAAAATTTGCCAAATGGGTTTGATTTAAACGACATTCTTTTGTTAAGTCAGCAAACATTAAATATTTTATATACCAGGTGAAAATAAAAAAAGAATACCATTAAAGAATATGTATTATACAGATTTTTACTACAAAAAATATTTTGTTTTCTGATTTTCAATAATTTTTTAAGCAATGTGCATAATTTATGTTAAAAAGATAAATTTTAGAAAGCTAATTTTGAAATTATTGTCAAGTATACTTTTTAATGATACTGATTAGACTTTATACCAATTTATATACAATTTGTTTTTTTATCCACAACTAAACACATAATGTAAGACATAAAACATAAGAAAAATCATTGCTCTTTGCTTATCTAAAATATTTGAGATGAGCAGGGAGCAATGAGTTTAAAAGTTTAAAGTATTTGATGATTATTGACAGAAATTCTGAATCATAATTATTTTGAATTAATTTGACTGATCTTAAACATCCAAAAATTATATATCATAAAAACACAGAACACAAGTTAGAAATTTAGATTTTATAGATTGTTTTATAGTTTTGTGTTCTTTTAGCTCACAGCAAAAAATATATTTTTATATTTGTATAACATCAAATCATTTAAAAGGGATTTTTGGTTTTATATATCATCATCATTATTTAAACTGGAACGAATTTGTATCAAGCAATTTTTATCATCTTGAAAAAAATTTAATGATAACCAAAATAAGCATTTAAGATAAAAAATTATAATTTAAAAACGTCTTTAAAAAAAATTAAAAAACCTTTGAAAAAAAAATTAATTCCTACATAATCACCTTAAATACCTAAACTTTTATGAAATCTTCATCAAATCTTTATGAATAAGTTTCTTTATTTACATTCATAAGCTAATTCTATAATTTCTTCTATTGATAAAATTAGCTGTAATTTAAATGGGATAAAATGAACCATTCTTTTTAACTTAAGAAAAGTAAGAGTTTAACAACCTATGAAATAATGCAAAAAAAGAAAAAAGAAGCAACATTATACAACAAAATTGTGAAAACAAGATCTGCAATAAAAGTGTAATAAAAAGTAATGAAAGTTTGAACTGACAAGGGTTTGGCAAAAATCTGTTACTACGCTAATTTTAAATTCCAGTCTAAAATATTTGTCTATTATGAGAAGAAGAATTCCTGAATTGCAGATCAGGACTGAATATCATTATTGTGATACTATCTCTAGGAGGATTACCATTAAAATTTACAAGCTCCTTCCAATATTTCCATAAATAAATTAAGGATACTGTATTAAAGTTTTCCATCTCTTGAGTAAATTGCCATAGCCACGGCTACAGTGGCCTAACTCAATAAAAAAATAAATTCAGATCTCAGAAAGGCTTTCAGATTGTTTTTACTTTTCAAAGCAAAAAAAAAACAATTTTTTAAGTAATCTTATTTCTGAAATGAAATTTCAAACTCTGTAACTACTCTAAAATGTTGAAATTATGTGACTTTATCCAACTATCAATTTTCCTATTAGTTTTGCTCAAAAACTACATAAATATATCACTAATTTTCAGTATACTATTTTACATTAAAAAAAACAACAACAAAAAAAACCCAATATTGGTGTCATATTTTTTTAATTTTTATTTTTGTCAAAATTAATGTCATATTTTCATATAGTAAATAATAAAATTAGTGTCATATTTTATATAGTAAATATTAAAATTTATCATTTTATCATTTTATATAGTAAATAATAAAATTAGTAATTTATATAGTAAATAATAAAATTAGTGTCATATTTTTTCCTTTACAATCAATAGTATTGTGAATTATTAATAATTACATATTATTAATGAGTAAATTAATTAAAGTTTTTAATTAATTTACTAATTAATAATAATCAAGACTTTAGTAAGATAAATTAAAATGATAAATCTTGTATAAATTTAAGTGTAACTACAAATATAGAAATTAAAACTTTGATTAATTTAATGACTTTGAATGCTTAATTAAATGATGCAATGAATGATGCATGATAATCAATTTTAAATATTCTAATCTATTTCCTAAAAAGAAAAAATGAGTAATTTAAAAGTATTTTATTTTATTTTTATGTTACATAATAATGTTAAATTTATTTTATGTAAAACTTATATAATCTTTAATACTATTATTACTTTTATTATTAGTAGCATTAGTTAAACAAGTGTTAAATTACTTAAGTTGAGAAACTTCTGGTTTAAATGAATTTTAATTTTTTTTGGATTGAAACTTTTTTAAATAATTTTTTTTTACCTTTAACAAGTTTGACATCATTTGCAATAAAAGAGATATCATCTTGAACTTCCATGCATGGATGTCGAGAACCAATCAAAATAATTTTGTCACTACCTTTTATTAAAATAAAATTTATTAGTATTTGTTTTTTATTAGCATTATGGTTTTAACTTGTATAAGTAAACTTGATATAACATTATATATATATATATATATATATATATATATATATATATATATATATATATATATATATATATATATATATATATATATATATATATATATATATATATATATATATATATATATATTTAAATTTAATACATATTTGGGTGACAACTTTTTTAGAACATTTGAACTTTTTTTGAAATTTAAAATACGACTTTGTAAAAAGCTGTTCTATGTTTACTTAGAAATTCATAAATTTTTTTTAGCTCAAAACTCTAAGAGGAAGAGTTTTATGTAAAACTTGGATTTTATGCCAATAACACATTTTACCAGTTTTTTGCGTTATAATTTCAAAAACAATAGCATATAAAATAAAAATAACTGCAAAAATATTTTTTCTTAATATTTTAATCTATATTTATTAAAGATGGCTCAATTCTTTCTCGGAAATATTTGTAGATATTAATTTGCAATATTGCCTGATTACTTATAGGATATTTTGTCATTGTTCTTCATTTTGAGATAAGCCAACAAATTCCTAGATTATTTAAGCACAATCAATTGTGACACTTAATTTTTTGATATATATATAAAAAAAAGTTATTGTAAGATCCAAGGTCCTTCAATTTGCCTGATTTATTCTTTTTGTATAATTTGCGCATTATTGGAAGCTCTTAAGTCATTTAAAACAGAATGCTTAGCAAGACTAGACTCTAAAAATATGGGTACATGGAAAATTCCAATTATAAAAAACATCTTTGAAACATTTTATTTTTGGTGTTTATATAGATAATCAACTACTGGTTATAAAATTTAAAGAACTAGGTGATATATGGAATCTGGCTGATAAATTTTAAAATCTTGTAACTTTTTAGAGTTGATTTAAAATAAAAAGCAAGATATTCTACAAGATGCTTGTAATCATCCCTTGAAAAAGTATTTCAAAGAAAACACTTTAAAACTCTTTGCTTCTAAATACAAACTGTATATGTTAGAGCCAAAAATGAGTGAGTTCTCAGAAAACATTTAGAGAAAATCAGAAAATCTATATTTAGCAGAAGAGCAGAAATTAATGGCTAAAATTCCTACCATCACTTCCTAAAGTTTAGTATTTGGGCCTTTCCTTTTATTCCCAGTTATAGCTTTGTAAACATGTTTAATGTGCAGCTTGTAAATATGATGTCTTTACATTAATCAGAGTAGTGTTTTTTTTTTTTAATTTTTAATAAAATCATAACTGTTCGATCTAATCTACTTGTATTTGTGGTAGTAGTGTCAGACAAACTGCTAAAACTTAGTTGATTATTTCAAAATACTTCAACAGATTTTGTATAACTAAAAACTGATCAAACGCTTTTTCAGTGTTACTTTGTACAACTCCTAGAAGATCATCTTTATGCCCAAATTCTATGCTTGTAACAGAGACAGATACTCAGTCACAGTTAATTTTTCTTCAATATAGCCAACTACTTTACCATCAAAATAGAGAACAAGTTTTATACCTCATAATTTATCTTAATGGTTTTCTCATATTTCAATACCTTTGTGTACTATAGTTTCATAGCCTTCTGTCTTACAGTCTCTCTTTTCAATTTTATTTCTACTCTTAAGTTATTCATTAAACAGTCAACAAACATTTTTTGATCTATGTAACTGATCCCTTTTCTTATACTTAAAGGTGTTAATGCTGCTATAAAGCCATCTCTGATAATGACGTTATGATCAATAATAGCAGTTGCATGTGTTTGTTTTTCATTATTCGATGTAAGTATTTGGGTTTCATTAGGACTGTTTTCACTCTGCTTTGAACTCATATATTAAGAATCTATATAAAATATAAACTTTGTACGGATATAAACAATTTAATACAGGAAACGATTACCTTCTAAAAATAAACTTGCTTTTTTGCAATTGGGTTTTACTTCCAAGCCATATTCAGCTGAAAGATATTTATTAACTTCAAGGCATACAATAATTTCTGCTTCATTTTCAATTATGCGTTCACAAGCATCATCTGCTACCATTTTCTACCTGTATTCCTCATACCTTGCGTATCTCTCCATTCTACTTTTAACTCTTGTTTCTAATTCCTTATCTTTAATGTGGCTAATGAACTGAACTCTTTCATTTATCTGATCTTCAACAAATTAAAGATCTTCTATTACAGCCTTTTTCTAGACACATCGCTACTCTGACAGATTAGTTCTTTTATGTTTGCTTTGCAAATATCGAAAAGACCTTCCATTTTACTCTAAAAAAAATTACATATAGTTATATAATAAAATGCTTTAAAACACATCAAATCTAAGTATAATATATCATTATACAAATCCACATATTACAAAATAATTTTAGAATGTTTTTACTTGAAACTCTATAATACTTTGTTCTTTGCTTTCTATCTTCCAAGTTAATTTTTGTTGTTGTTCCGTAAGCTGTCATTTTTAGTGAAGTTTTTAAAAACTTGTCGAGAATTTTGGATTCAGAAATCAAATAGTTGCTAACTCTGCAAAGTTTCCAGAGTTTACTACTTTTCAGAGGAGACAAAATTTATTTCCTCGCTGACATTTTGTGTTTTCTTTGCATACCAAATCAAAATTTTTTCCAATTGCACATATAAAGTTTGTATTTAAGTTTTAAATCGATTTAATCTAGAACTGATAAGCTAATGGTAATTGCAATGGAACAGTTTTAATGTCTTAAAACTGTTCCATTGATAGGGAGCTGATGAGGTGGAAATTCAGAAATAGATGATTTAAGTAGATACAATGGTCATCTGACACTTGTATTTAAATTATATGAAGATTTTTTTTTTGCTCTTCTTATCCTGATCTGTAAATGCAATATTTAATTAGTTTTTTAAAATTAAAATGAGTAGAAAATATCCATTTTGTTAGTTCATATGTATATATATATATATATATATATATATATATATATATATATATATATATATATATATATATATATATATATATATGAACTAACAAAATGGAAAAACCTAGACCTTTTTGAATTTGTATTGAGATGGAGAACGGCCTAAAATGTAGTAACAATTTTCGATTTCTTTTTTTTAATTGTCACCCCAATATATAATTAATATAAATATATATAATATAATTTAAAATAATATATATCTAATATATATATATATATATATATATATATATATATATATATATATATATATATATATATATATATATATATTAAAGAAATTTTAAAAGAATTTTTGTAAGAAAAAAAAAAATTACCAAGTGGATAAACTTTTGGGCGAACAAATGGAATAGGAGCTTGGGATGCAACCAAAGAAAAGCTTAAAAAATAATTTGAACTTTGTTTAAAAAAAAAAAAAAAACAAATTAAATAAAATAATTACAACAAATCAAATTAAAAAAAAAAACAAAAAAAAACAACAAACAAGATTTTTTAAAATTTATTTTAACTCAAAGTATTTTGAATACCTTAAAGATTTTTGATTTAATTTGTAATAATACAATGTGGTTTGTCAAAATTGTTGACACACACAGATATATATATATATATATATATATATATATATATATATATATATATATATATATATATATATATATACATATATATATATGTATATATATATATATATATATATATATATATATATATATATATATATATATATATATACACACATTTTTGAAAACTGATATTCATTATTATTTTAATGGTACCCAATGGTTATAAGAAGTGTTTAAGATGTTTAAAACACATTTTGAGCCCACTGGGTACTCAACATGTTAGGACCAAAATCAATTTTTCATAAAAGCCTTTACTTTGAAAAAACTTTAGGTTACCTAAGTAAAAACTTTGTAAAAATGCTAATATTTACTGCAATGAATTTATTAGAGACGCATTTATCACTGGTCTAAACTCGAATGTGATATGCAAAAGGCTACTAGAAAACAAGATCCTTACACTAATATCAGTTTAAAACCAAGCAGGCTCATAGAATTTGTTAAAAAACACTCTGAACATTATCAGTCTGACATACCTCAATCAATGTAATGCAATAATACAAGATAATATAATGAAACAAATTTCAACACTGACCACAAACCTGTGTTACTTCTGTGAAAAATCGCCAACTGCGTAGTGCTTGTCTTGCTCAAGATGTCACTAGTCACTAATGCCAAAAAAAAGACATTTTGTGTGTGTAAATCGAATAGACCATTAGCAGTTACTGAGTCTGACGATGTATTAGCAATGATAAGTGCTGGGGCCCTAATTACCTCTCACATGTAATTCGTAAGGTGAAAATCAAAGGGCAAATTTTTTTTTGCATTAATAGATACTGGAAGCTCAGACAACTTTATCAACAAATACATTGTTAATAAATATCAAATCCCATAAAAAAAAAGGTTTGGGAGCATATCAATGGCATGATATGCTCCCAAATGTATGCAGATATCGCACCCAGTCAATATTACACCAATTATGTGCTAATGTTATTCTTGTCAAGTTATTTTAAAACAGCATAGAAATATAACATTTCTTTTTTGGAGGAACATTACCTTCTTTGTCAGTTTGTAGTCTAAAGAAATCACAATTATCACCTGCAACATTATTTGTAAATCTTTCTAAAGATTATCACCCAATTGTAACTAAACCTCTAAGAAATAATCACACTAATAAGCTGCTTATCCGAAATTAGGAAATTACTAAATGACAAAGTTATAGAAACAAGAATCTCACTTTGCACAAATAGTAATTACAACAGATGAAAGATACAAAAAACAAATGTGTACTCTTAGGTGCTTAATACACAGGAGGAGGTGTTTATTAATTTTTGGAAATATTTCCTACTATCCCAAGCTTATTAAGCCCCCTTCCCCCTTTATTTATTTTTACTTGTTATTAACAAAAAAACATTATCTCAAACCTAAAACTCAGACTTTCCACCCACCCTTTTATAAGAATCCCCCTCCCCCATATATTAAATCTAAACTAAAATCCAAATCACATTTTTCTGATCCCCACCATTAGCTGCTTATAGTCATCTAATGAATGCATTTCAATACATATAAATTTTAATTATTATTTAAAAATACTTTGAAAGTCATTATTTACATGCATGTATAAATAAGACAACCAACAAAAATACTATTTATACGAAAAACATTTAAATTCTTTAACAACATGCTGGGGCAGTGCCATGGATAATTAAAACAAAATATTTTATGGCGCTACTAACAAGGGTTGAGAATTTGACTATTTTGAAGATATTTTTTTGGGGGAAATGATGTTTCATCTGAAAGTTATTTTAAATATTAATTAAGCATTAAGTATTACGTTTTAAGTATTATTATTGTTTGATTATAACTATACTTATTTATAATTTTTAAAGTTTCATACAATAAAAATAATAATCAATGCATACATAAATTGACTGAAATGGCAGTAGTTGCAGTGTAGTTACATTCATAGACTGACTTAAATAGCTATGGGAGAAGTGAAGTGTGCATATATTTATTTTTGTACTCTTATAGTTCAATATACAGTTGTATAAAATAACAGTGACTGAGCAAACAAATAACCTTCGAAGATATATTTATTTTTGATGTTTTATTTAAATAACTTCTTTAGAAATAAGTTAGTGCTGTGGTGCAGATTATATTTACATTATAATATTTCATGCTAATTCGTATTATTGTTGTTTAATGATTATAATATGAATTTTTATTTAATAATTATTTAATAACTAATTATTTTTTCATTGATGATATATTGGCTATACAATCGACTCATAAAGCCATAGACGTTTAATCAACTAAAATTTAAGTAAATTTGTAAAAAGTCATTTTCGATAAAAATTAAGTCTAATCCACTTTATGTTAAATTGGAATTAAGTCAAATGTTTTAGGCTCGACACACTTTTAATCAATAGAAAATAATTTATAGATTTGAACTCAAAAAAAAAAATGTTGTGTCACATAACTGAATTCCATACTTCCTGTAATAAATCAAAACAAAATTGTTAAGACCCCCCTCCCCTATCATGTGACATTTTTTGGATGACACCTTTTAATTGTTGAATAAAGGGTAAAGTACTTTTATGCCAATTAGTAAAGTCAAACACTTAAAAAAGAGTCAACTAGGGTTCATATACAATTTTATAAATACCTGAGAAGAACATCTAAGTGAGCAACAAGATCACTTAAAACATTCATTGGATCAGCATAACCACCTACAAAATAAAAAAAGAAAAAAAAAAGAAAAACACAACAATATATCAACATAACATATAAGGTATGAGCTTATTTTAAATTATGAAATATTGTTTAAATTTTATTATAAATATTAAATATTCTTAATACAGATTTTGTATAAAATGAGTACAAATCAGTACACATTTTATACAAAATGAGTATAAATCAGTTGAGGACTTTTTTATATTCTTATAAAATCATTTTGTATAAAATTTAAGTTTAGTAAAATGAGTACATATAAGTTGAGATTTTTTTTATATTCTTATAAAATCTTCATGATATTACACTTGCAGTTGGGAATATAAAATTGGTTTTTCCTCCAAGCCTTTCCCTGGTTCAATATTAGGTAAGTAAAAGTATTTACTATATAACACACTAAGAATAATTTTTAGTTAATTAGTAATAATAGTTAGTAAAAGAATAGGTTTTTAGTTACTTTACTTTTCATGTGGTTGCATATTTTGAGCATTTTTGTACAAAATCATTATGAGAATAAAAAATGACAAGTTCAAAGTTGCAAAACTTTTAATATAAGTTTTTGCTTCAATTTTCTATTTTAGTTTTTTCACATAAGATCTTGTACAAAAATACTAGAAAGTGAAAAAAGCTTAATTATGCTCATAATTGCTGAGTTGTTCTTATTTAAAACATCTTTCAATCAATGTCTTTTATTTCGATTACTACAAGGTATGATCTGTGGATCTAACAATATTTAAAAACATTTTAGTTTTCTTTCTTTTTTAAAATTATGAAATTTTGTTTAAACTTTATTATTAATATAAAATATTTTTAATACAGATTTTTTATAAAAATAATAATTAGCAAAATAAGTAAAAAATCAGTTGAGGACTTTTTTATATTCTTATAAAATCTTCATGATAATACACCTGGGGTTGGGAATAAAAAACTGGTTTTTCCTCCAAGCCTTCCCCTGGTTCAATATTATGTAAGTCAAAATATTTACTAATTAACACGCTAAGAATAAATTTATTTAGATTTTAACTTTATTTTTACTTTATTGCTTGTGGTTGTATACTTTAAGCACTTTTAAAAATTTAAAAAAAAAAAGGTTAAAAAAGAGGTTTCACTAGCAGCCTTATTTATAAAAATGGTTTACTTGTAGTGCAACAGCTAACAATATAAGAACCTTATTTTTTTTTCATGAATTTTTACTATTACAAACTTAAAAAAAAAAAAAAAAAAGAAATCCTGACTAACCACAGTAGAATTTCTTTAGTTTTAACTTACTTTATACTTACTTATCATCCTGTGTAAAAACAGGAGACTAATTTGGTTTAAGTAGCAGAATTTCTATTAATTTTGATAGTAAACGGTTTATGGGATTACAAAATCTCATCAGAATATGACATACTCATTGAGTTTGTAAATATATATATCTTTTTTTTTTTAACTTTTTTTAATTTTGTTATTCACCTTCTCAAGGCCAAGAAGGCCACTACACACAAGGAGGATACTTAAAAGTGGTTATAACCCTCTCTCAACTCTATAACTCCTAAACACGAACCTTGACGAACAAGGCCGCTGCGCGGAGAATTAAGTTGAGCGCGGTACTATATATATATATATATATATATATATATATATATATATATATATATATATACATATGGGTGAGAAGGCCACTACAGATGAGGAGGCTACTTAATAGTGGTTATAACCCTCTCTTAACTCTATAACTCCGAAACACGAACCTTGACGAACAAGGCCGCTGCACGGAGAAACAAGTTGAGCGTGGTACTACCAGGGATGTGGTGGTGATCGAACTCGGAACCTTTCGCTTATGAAGCGAGTGTTTTACCACTACACCACTACCGCATATCTATATCTATATATCTATATATATATATATATATATATTCTGGTAAATGCATTTATAAAATAAAAGTTTTACTTGCTATTTTGATAACTTCATTTGCTAATTGTGTTTGAAGTTCATTATAAGATGCTTTCTGAGTGCGGTAAGCATTACTTAACTCTGATAATGTGGAATTAGTAAAGCGCACACCATCCTTTCTGGTTTCTATGGTTGTAAATTTTTTGCATGATCTTAAAACCTTTTCTTCCTAAATAAATACAATTCATATAATCAAAGATTATTATAACTATGATGATGATAATCATATTAATGATTATTATGATCATCATGATAATAATAAAGATCATTAAAAAATGAACTGTTTCTTACTTTTAACGTGACGCGAAAAAAATGACCAATTTGTGAATTTGATTCAAGTTTAATTGTTTTACCAGCGTCTAAACCCAAAACTCTTGCTGCATCATCTAATGAATCATTAAGTTGTTCAGAAATTTCATTCATAGTTGTTTTACAATCTTGTAATGAAGAATCAAATTCAGCTTTTATCATATACTCATGATTCTCAACATCTTCTAAATCAACAGTTGTTTCTATGAGTTCAATATATTTTGAAAAATCACTAATCAAATCCTAAAAAGATAAAATTGAAATAAAAAAAATTAAGACAAAAAATTAATTTAATAACAACAACAACAACAACAAAAAAACCCAGTCAAAAAATTTCTTTGCTAAATAAATAAAAAAAAAGGGTACTTACTTTTAATGGTTTACAAAATACATCAGTTATTGTTACTTTATAATCCCCTTCGTATGAGTCTAATGCAGAAAGTAAATATGGTAGCTGCTTAATTGCTTGATAAACTCGTACACAATCCTGATATGTTAATAAAATAGTATTTAAACTTCATTACTTAACAAAAATACTAATTAAAAAGTTTAAATGCAATGTAAAGAAATTGTTAAATTGCAGTATTCCCACAAAAAAACAATTTATTGCTTTTATTTCATAATTACTATTAAAATAATTTTTTACAGTTATAAACTATCATTTTGTTTAATGTTATATTGATAATACATTATGCTGAGAAAACCTAAAAAAACTTATAGTTTATTCTTGTATCAGGAAAATATTAAACTAAAAACAATAAATTCTTAAGGAAGCAAAATTGATAGAATAAAAGGAAGTGTATCAAACAAACTGGAAATCAACTAACAGCTCTTTACTAAAAAGTTTTTCTAAAAAGTTTTGCTTCTTAACAAGCTCTGATCCTTTTTTCATCTCACTTTTATGCTGGGCTCACTGCAGTTTGATTCCCAGCAAATCCCTAGTAGTACTGGGTATACTTATAAAATACTCATTAATAACGTGTAGGTATTAAGACCATGCATACTTACTAATAACGTGCTTCTTCATGCAGCAGCCTTACACATCAAGGTTTGTGTTTCATAGTTATAGAGTTAAAAGAGGGTTGTAACCACACTAAAAGTAGCCTCCTCAACTGCAGTGGCTTTCATGGCCTTGAGGTGAATTAAAAAAAAAAAATCATTTTTGTGCTATTTTTTAGGAGCAAACACTTCTTCAAAACCTCTTTTAAAACTAAATCACTAGCTAAACAATCTGCAATTTATTTAAGCAATTGATTTCTAATAGGTTTTTACAAATGCTTCTAAAAAGTAAGATGTGAGAATGTGTCAATTATTAAATAAGAAAGTGCCAATAATTAATAGCTTCAATGATTTATAATATTTTGAAAATCATTGAAGATGATTAATATGTATGATACATTTTTTAGTAACTCATTTATAGTTTTTCTGGAAATCCTGCCTTAACATTTTTCATAAAAGTTTTAAAGGCATAGCTTTGATAAACTTATAGCATTAGTGCTACAAGTAGCTTTTGGAATGTTAGAGTAAATCAGGTGAATAATTTATTTGATTTGTTTAACTGTTAAACCTTTTAGAATTTTTTAAAGTTGTTGGCTATAAAAGCAATATATGTTTCTCGCAGTAGAACTCAGCTTCCTAAAAATAAGGTACTGCTTTCAATCTAATCAAAAAATGCATCATAGTATGTATCGGGTTGGTTAAAAAAAATTAACATTTTTTCAAATTTTTTTTTATTAAATTTATAATTCCACAATTAATCTTTGACATAATATGCCTCATCATTGCCTTTGACTTTTTGAAAACTCTTAGACAATGAACAAATGAGACTGCTATAGAACTCTTTAAGCTTTGAATCAATATAATGATTAAAAGTGTCTGATTGACTCTTTATCATTGAATCTTTAAATAAGCAAGATGTTATTTAGTGATCAGAATAAATAATCTGTTGGCTTTAAATCAGATGAGTAGAGCCAACAAGGCAACACTTCCTTGCCAAGCTTTAATAATTTTTGGAGCAATCATTTTGGAATGTGTTGTCATGGAGATAGTAAATCTTGCCATGGGGTTTCCTTTTTCAAAGTTTTTTCTTTTTCATTGAAATGGTTTTCTATAGTACCATGAATGCATTCAAGTTTGCTTGTATGCATATTGTATGTATATATGTATGCATTTTGTATGTATACATGTATGCATATTATGTATACATGTATGCAATGTATGTATACATTATGCATATTGTATGTATACATAGACAACACTTTGCTGTCGCCTCACCTGACTTTCCTGATTGCATATAATTTGTGTTGATGTGAATGCTAAGTTGCTGAACTGAAACTGATGCCAGGAAGTGTGGTACATGGCTTTTAACTGTCATTCGTTTTTTGCAATATAGATAAATTGGAATGGGAAAATTATCAGCATAAATTGTTTCATGCCCTATATATACCCGAATAAATGGAAACTTGAAACATCCAAAACTACGAAAATTAAAAAAAAAAATCATATTTTTAGCCAACCTAATAGAATTCAAAACTAGGTTATCGTTCAGTAGTTTCTTTTTAAAAATTATGTAAAACTACAGAGTCTGCATTATTTTGTTAAGCATCAAAAGTTGACGAACTCTAATGTTTTGATTCTTTTTACAGAACAAAATTATCTCAGATATTTTAAAAGCTATATAAGTTTTAGTGGCAACCTTTTGTAAATCTTAAGTTAAATTAGTTTTAGTGGCACCCTTTTGTAAAACTTTTGCAACAAAAAAAAAAAAAAAAAAAAAAATTTAGAAGTCAACCTTTTTTTTAAATCTGTGTCCAGATTAAAAAAACACTTACATATGTTAGGAGTGAAACAAATTTACAATTCAATAATAATTTAAAAAATGATAACTTGGAAGTAAATTTAAATTCAAACAATTAAAAAAACAAAGAAAACATTCTCATACTTGAAGAGATGCTTTTTTTCTTGAGAACTTCTTTGAAATGCGTGTCAAATCAGGCATCTTTTTTAAATATGTATCCTGAACAAGAAAAATTTTCTTCTGTTATATTTATACAATTATTTTAATTAAATACAAGCAAATGGAAAAAAAATCTAATGTATACTTTATTGTATAAAATAATAAATAAAGCTCTATATACAATCATAACAAGCATAATTCAGAAATAATTTAATATATTATATATAATTTTTATCAACTCTGGCCCCCTTAGCCTTGGGAAAGTAAATACAGTAAAAAAAAAAAAGTCTTCAGAAAACATGAAGTAAAACGGAAAGTTTTAAATGTTTGCAATAATAAATAATATTATTGCTGTATATATATATATATATATTATATATATATATATATATATATATATATATATATATATATATATATACACATATATATATATATATATATATAAAATAAATAATAATATAATATAATATAATATTTGTTTTTATAAACTAATTTTGTAAGGTGCCAAAAAAATGTTGCGTTGATGCAAAAAAATTTATAAAAAAGAAACCCTTTTCATTTTTGAACCACATTTCTTGTCAACAGAACAATTGTTAATAAATTGTAAATGAGTTAAAAAAACTGCAAATAAAACACATTTATTATTTTAACATTATCTTTAAAAAAAAAAAAAAAAAAAACAGAAAAAAAAATTTATAAAAATATGTTTTAAATTAGTATCTTTAATTATAAGATATTTATTATACTCTCATTTATTATACACAATCCTTATCACTAACTAAATTATAATTATGAAATATTATTAGGCATATGATAATTATAGCAAGTACTATGTTATTATTGTTATTATTATTATTATTATTATTACTATTAAAATTAATATCATTATTACAGTTATAATTGTTATTATATTGTCATTTAGTTTATGTCATTTGCAAATTGCATTATTCCATGTTTTTTTTTTAGGTGTTGTGTTACTTATTTTAACAAGAAAATTTAATAACAATGTATCTGTATACTTGCTTCATTAAACATTTTAATAACTGTATAATTGTAAGAAAAAAATAACTGTTATATACTTTTAAATAAATATAGTAAATAATACCTATATCTAATATCTAATTTACTTTAAATATAGAAACCTAATTGTTTAATGTTTTTTAAAACCATCTTTAAAAAAATTTAAAAAAAAATTAATGCTTGTAACTCAAGACCAATTTACAAAACATTAAATTTAATTACAATCTATATATTTAATAGACGAGTTTCAAATGTTTACATTCTCACTTTTAAAAAAAGATATGCGCGCAAACTTTTAGGTAGAAAAACAAATAACTAGAAATTTTCCATTAAAAAATTGAGATATTTGTATGTTTTATTTATTCACTGATTCTTATTTACTCACTGATTCACTGATTTAACAAGAAATAAATGCCAACCAGTTGTTGTGCAGTTAATTGCTCAAACAAATTTAAATATAAATGTGAATTGAAATTTTACAAACTTCCATCAGGAAAATCGCCCTTTGAGAAAAGAAGACGTATAGACTGGATTAAGCTATTAATCCTAAAGATTGGTACAGTTGGGAAAGTAAAAAAATTATTAAAGAACGAGTATGCAGTGCACATTTTGTATCAGGTATGTCCTTTAATGAATGAGGTTAGCAAATAAAACTATATACATAGTAATACGTTTATTAAAATTCATAAGTATCATGTTGATACTTATGAATCTTAATAAACATATTTAAATAAGTAATTTATAATATTTGGTACATTTATTAAATTAATTAAATAATGTTAATTTAAAAAAAAACTTTTTATACTTTTGGGAAACGTTCTGATGATCCATCTGACATTGACTGGAGTCCACCTGTATTTAATCATCTTGGAGCTGCTCTGATTTTTTGATTTAAAAAAAATTTGATTTAAAAAAGGAGGAGAAAAGATAGCTATAAAGCTTTATGTAAAAAACGATCTTTCAAAAAAAGTAATACTACCATCTAACCAAATAAATGATATAGAGCTCGATAACTATAAAGATAATATAAATATTGACATAAATCCACCAAATGACAAGTCAGCTATTTCTAAATTTTGTCAGTATGATATTTATAAAGCAGAAGCAGAAACTCTTAACATTCAGTTAATGCAATACAGAAATGAATTGATCAAGAAATCTAATGAAATTATTAAATTTAAAAAAAGATGATGCCAGGCTAGACCATAATAAATATACTTCATACAAAAACCTAACAGATAAACAAATTAATTTTTTTTCAGGCTTGTCTCGAACTATGTTAATGTGGCTCTTTGAAAGAGTTAAAAATTATATTACAAAAGTTCACTTGAGGTTATTGTAGGAGGACCATCTCCTATATGTACTCATAAAACTAAAATTAGCTTAATTGTACTCATAAAACTAAAATTATATATATACCGCTTTTCAATGCACAGCAGTAGTTTTAAAAATTTTCAGAACAATAACACCAATTCTTTATGCTAGAGATGACAATCTCATTGTTTGGCCAGACCATGAAATAATAAGGAGTAACATTTATATTTGCTTTAAAAAAAGTTCAAAAACTGTGTCTGTATTATTGATTGTACCAAAGTATTCATTGAAAGACCAAAAAATATAACTTCACAATCACAAACATGGTCAAATTATAAACATAACAATACCATTAAATATCTTATTGGTATTTAACTAGCTGGGGCAGTTAGTTTTTTATCTCCTGGCTGGGGTGGTTGTGTTTCAGACAAACAGATAACGCTAGAGTCAAACTTTTGTCAAAAGCTTAATTCTGAGGACTGTGTTCTTGCTGACAGAGGATTTATTATTAAAGATAAACCAAATGCTGTTGGGATAACGTTAAAAGTTCCTGCATTTACGAAAGGTAGACAATTATTTGGATGGAAAGCGAAAACATCTAGGCAGATATCTAATGTTCCCGCACATGAGGAAATGATTAGTCGAATAAAAAAGTTTTGCATTATTCATATGACTGTGCCAATCACTTAAGTGGATTTATTCATATGACTGTGCCAATCACTTAAGTGGATTTATTCATATGACTGTGCCAATCACTTAAGTGGATTTATTCATATGACTGTGCCAATCACTAAAGTGGATTTATTCATATGACTGTGCCAATCACTTAAGTGGATTTATTCATATGACTGTGCCAATCACTTAAGTGGATTTATTCATATGACTGTGCCAATCACTTAAGTGGATTTATTCATATGACTGTGCCAATCACTTAAGTGGATTTATTCATATGACTGTGCCAATCACATAAGTGGATTAGATGATATTATGATTATGATTTGTGCTGTTTTTGACATTTAATTAAAAAACTTTGTTTTTTAATTAAATGTTAAAAACAACTATTGATTTTATTTAACAGAACTTGATCCTATTCAATATTTTATTATAAAAACATTCTTGAACCACAAGTGAAGTATATCATATGCTTCCTAGGATTTACAGGCTCTGATTGATTTCTTCTTGTATATGCTAGGTGTATCAATTGATTCCTTCTTGTACATGCTAGGTGTATCAATTGATTCTTTCTTGTATATGCTAGGTGTATCGATTGATTCCTTCTTGTATATACTAGGTGTATTGATTGATTCCTTCTTGTGTATGCTAGGTGTATTGATTGATTACTTTTTGTATATGCAAGGTGTATTGATTGATTCCTTTTTGTATATGCTAGGTGTATTGATTGATTCCTTCTTGTATATGCTAGGTGTATCGATTGATTCCTTCTTGTATATGCTAGGTGTATCGATTAAATATTGAGTAACATCTTGCATTGTAATGTTTGGCAAAAGATTGACATCATTGCTCCATTCTTTTGGTTCAATTATAAACGGATCCGGTAAACCTTCCCCATTTCTTTGTATAATCTATTGCTTCTTCTTATTTTGGGCTTTTAAAATATTCACTCATAATATTATTAACTATTTTGAAAAATTATATGTTATTGTTGACTTCTAAAAACAAAATATATTTAAAATGAGTTTAAAATTTGTACAAAAACATCTGTTTTAAACAACAATAAAAACTTTTATTACCAAAATTTATTTGAAAAATTTGTAATTAATTTTAATTATTATTCTTTCAATATTTTTTTAAAGGAAATATTGATTTTAGGGTACAAATATTGATTTTAGGGTTTAAAAGAAATAAAAAACATGATAAAGTTGCACAGAAACTCATCTATAATTAAAAATTTACACATTTTTAATTTATAAAAAAAATATTTATTTTTAACTTATAAAGTATAATGGTCAATAGAGGTATATAAATGCATAACCAACAAACATGTCTAGAAAGAAATTTTAGCTGCTTCTTATAATTAGAGGTTTTTAAATACACACACAGACTGATTTAAAATTGTATTATTTATAAATTTAGAAACTAAAGCTGGTCTGCCCAATGAAACTCATTTGATGCTTTGTGCACTACAAAAAAATTAAAGTGAAAGACGTGTTTTAACATATGAATGTTTTTATCTGAAAGATGGTATTTGTTCCTCAGGTTCAGTTAGCTCCATCCAATAACCATAAATAAAAGTCCCGATAAAACTTGGAAAATTAAAGTTTATCTTGATTTATGAATTATAACTGAGCTTGTGAATTATAACTTTTATCTAGAAATTTATTTTGGGTTTTGAATTTCCAACAAAACTCCAACAAAACTCAGTTACTACAAACAACTATTGCAATATTGTTAACATTATTAATGAATGGCAAACAGCACTGAATCGTCTAATTTATGTCTTCTTAGATTATCATTTACTAATGACCTCTTATGGAAACCATATACACTAAGAAGTTAGCATCTGCTAAGGTTGCTTCTCTTTATTGTGCTTGCCATTATCTTAGTACTAATTTCATTCTCAACCTCTACAAAAATTTTATTTGTCTGTTTATGGAATACTCTTCTCATATTTGGGTTATTTCTAATAATGGTCTTTCTAATAATGGTCTAGATAAGATACAAAAACACATTGTAAAGGTAATTGGATCTGCTCTACCTGCCTACCTTGAGTTACTATCTCATCACCATAACTGTCTTTTTCTCTTTTCTGCAAATACAATAATGGTTGTTGCTCAAATGAACTAATATCTCTAGTTTTATCAACTAAAACTCACTCTCTTTTGACTCATCTCACCCTTCTACTGTAGTTGCCCATTTGCTGTAAAAACATTAATTGATATAGTTTTTTTTCCTCACACATCAATGGTTTGGAGTTCTTACCCATCTTTATATTTTCAGACTCATACAACCTACAACTTTTAAAAACCTGTCAACTATTTCCTTGCTCTTAAACAATATTCTTTCTTTTCTAATAACTGCCAAATTTATAGCAGTTGCTTGCAGCCTTTCTCGGTTGTGAACTAGTTTAAAAAATAAATTGAACATGGTTTTCAATCTATATTCAATATGATGGTCAAGTTTGATTTATTTTTATTTTACAAACAATGGATCTTCTTAAACTTTTTCTCTATTCAAATTGCGATTATTTATTGTAAAATTATCACTTTTTTATTTATTTAATATCCATATCCAAAATGTAGTAAGATCCAGTTTTATTATAAATTTTTCTCATTAGTTTAAATACAAATTGTTGTGGCAATGTTATTTTCAATTAAAACAGATAACTGATGCTATTTTTAATAAAAAGATATATATTTAATACAAAAAAGTTATAGATATTTATATTCTGTAATTACTATAATTAATTACTGTAAAGAAAAATTACATTGCTTTATAAGTTGAAAACTAATATGAAACCTATCAGATCTGCTCACACATACGTAACCTGTTAGATTTACACATGCATATAAAACCTGTCAGATATACTCACGCATATGGTTGATCATATAAAAAACACAACATTTACAATTAGCAATAACAAAAAATAACAATAACATTTAAATATAATTTTTTTTTTAACTAAAAAATATTTATTAAGTAACAAATTAACAAGTTTTTAAAATTAGGAATTGTCTAAAAGTAGGGGAAAAAAATATTCTATGCACCCATTACTAAATGCAAGTTTATGCTTTGACTTCTTGACGGTACCCCTCTTTGGAGTTTGACTGTATCCCCTCTGTACCTCTATCTGAACTGATAAATTAAAAAAAAATTGAAAATGTTATATTATGTTACTAACTGAAAAATGTCATGTCAAACTTTAAAAAGTTTTTTTACATAGAATATTTAAATTCACTATTACCTGAATAGTCTTTCGAGTATCACTTCTGTTAAAAAATGCATCAACAATGTCTAATCTTTCTTCTAAAGTAAAGTTTCATGGGGAAAATGATGAAAGCATATTTCTTAAGTTTAATCCAAAATCATTTGGGTTAATATCAATATCGTTTGGGTTGGGTTATCAATTTCTTATTAAAGTAACACTAAACATTCTAATAATATAAACATTATCAGATACCACACAAGAATATTTGAAAAGCTCCATTAAAAAATAAAAAACATATTTTTGTGTAAATATTTTTTTATTTAGCCACAAATAACAAAAAAGCAGATATTAACTCACCAATTTTCTTATGATCAAGTAATGGTTGCTTTACCCATTGGGCTAGTAAACGTTGGCCTTGGCTTGTGCGACACATGTTCAACAATCCAAAAACACTCATTGATTTGTTATTGCCTAAAATTGTTTAGAAATTATTTCTTAATACCTAATATTTTTAAAATGTGCTTGTATGCTAAAGTTGTTAAACATTCAAGCACCTTAAATAAGTTGTCTATGACTTATTGTGTCAATAGAGCAGTTTTGTTACTACAGGCTGTTTTGTTACTACAGGTTGTTATACACTCAGTTTTGTGACCAAAACTGAGTGTATGAACATATGTAGTCTTCGAGATAGTACCAAAAAATGGTAAAATTTTTCTGAAATTATCCTTCATGCTCCACATGCACACTTGTGCCAATTGATTCAATTACAAAAAAATACTTTTGCTTCATGCAGAAATAATATAAATGCCTTCTCTGATAAATAGAAGTTCTGATCTTCTCATTACATCTGATTTATTAGAAATGACATAGATATAACTTAACTCGGCGATGAAACAATAGAAAATATGCGCTATGAGCATATCAATGAATATCAGTAAATATATTAGTAATTGGTAAACGATAATGTAAATTATTGGAAGATAAAAGTCTTAAATTAATGCATACATACATACATACAAAAATAACATTAACAGGATAAAAAAAGCAAACTATCTTTATTGAAAGAGTGCTTAGGACATTAGAGAGTAAATGCAAATTTTAGAATTAAGTTATTTTTGAATAATTTCTATTAAATAGTATTTAATAATAAACTTCATTTCTTTTTTTTCCTCGAACAAATACTCCCTTAATGTGAACTCACCTTTTAAGAGGTTGATAACAAAAGCAAATATTTGCATAGGTATCCATTGGTCAATCGCGTGTCAATCACTCTAAACTAAATATTCTAAAACTGGTGTTTGCCTAATTTTCAGAGAAGGCAGGGTTCACTACAAATCTCTTTATTGATAATATTAATTGATTTATAGCTCAAAATCTGGACCTTCATATTGCAATTCACAGATTTCAGAATATCATTATGCTTATAATGTTCCAGATTGGGCTTGTATAGATAGAGAGACAGAGCAATAATAAACCTTCAGATTTTGTGACCCCAAAATTATATATTTCTAATGTTCTTTAAATCATAAAGTTTTTTTTTTTTTAATTTTTTAATTTTTTTATTTGCATTCACTCCCAACAAGGCTGCAAGCAACCACTATCAAGTTGGGAGTTACTAGAAAAAAAAAGAACAGAGTTATAGAGCAAGGAAACGGTTGACAGAAGACTTGAAAAGTTGAAGGTTGTATGAGTCAGGAAAACATAAAGATGGGAGAGAGTTCCAAAGGATTCAAGTGCGGGGAAAAAAACTAGATGAATAAAAGTTTTTAGAACATGCAGGGACAGATACAGTAAACGAATGAGACTTAGCTGAATGACAAGTAAAACGAGAATGAATTTTAGTTGATGGAACTAGAGATGATAACTCCTTTGAGCAGTGACCATGATAGTATTTGTAGAAAAGAGAAAGAAATGCAACTTTACGACGATGGGAAAGAGGTTCAAGTTGAGCAGATAGTCCAGGTCCAACAACATTTACAATGCGTTTTTGGACCTTGTCAAGAAGAGAAAGTGAATCGTTAGAAGAACCAGTCCAAATATGACAACAGTATTCCATACAGGGACGAATAAGAGATTTGTAGAGATAGAGAATGAAATCAGAAGTAAGGAAATGGCGAGCACGATAAAGAAAAGCAACCTTAGCAGAAGCTAGTTTAGCAATCGATTGTATATATGGTTTCCATGAAAGGTCAGTAGTAAGCGATAATCCAAGAAGACGTAAAGAGGACGACTCAGTAAGAGGATTGCCATTCATTAATATAGGAATGTTGACCATATTACGGTAGTTGTTTGCAGTAAGCAACTGGGATTTTTTAGAGTTGAAATTCACAAGCCACTGTGAACCCCAATCTATTACTGAAGTGAGATCGGATTCAAGATCAGCTGCTTGTTCTAGGCGATCGAAAAGAGAGGACTTTTTGTCAAGACAGGAGTATAAAGTTAAGTCATCAGAAAAAAGAGCTACTTTAGATGAAAGGTTGTCAGGAAGATCGTTTATATAGATAAGAAACAAAACAGGGCCCAGGATGGAACTTTGGGGAACCCCAGAAGTTAATGGAAATAAAGAAGAGTGTAGGCCTTCAAGGATGACTTTAATAAACCGGTTAGAAAGAAATGATTTGATAATCTCAAAACCTTTCCCAGAAACACCATATGAAGCAAGCTTATGGAGAAGACCAGCATGCCAAACTTTGTTGAAAGCTTTAGATATGTCGAGAGCAACCCCCCTAGCCTCACCGCCTCCATCTAATGCACGATAAAATCTTTCAGTTACAGCAGTTAGCAAGTCGGCCGTAGAGCGAGAGGATCGATAACCGTATTGATTGTCTGACAGTAGTTTATTTGACTCAAGATGAGATGTGAGGAATTTGATGATCAAAGACTCAAAGACCTTGCTAATAACAGAAAGAAGACTGATCGGACGATAATTGGAGAGGTCAGAATTTTCTCCAGAGTTTTTGAATATTGGAACCACAGATGCCATTTTCCAACGAGCAGGAAAACAAGACTCAGTCAAACACTTGTTAAATAGTTTAGAGAAAATAAAGAAAGTTCTGGAGAACAATTCTGCAAGACTGTGACAGGAATGTTGTCTGGACCACAAGCTGTAGACAAGATTAATTGAGATATGACTTTAGCAACAGAAGCCAGAGTGATTTGAATGTCTAACAATGGGTCAACCTGTTTGACTGGAATGGAAGGAAGAGAATGTCCATAAGATTCAAGAGTGGAATTAGAAGAAAAGTTCTTTGCAAATAGTTCTGCCTTATCCTTGGGAGAGGTAATAAGATCAGTCCCATGAATGAGAGATGGAATGTTAGATCTACCCTTGTTAACAATGCTGTTGAAGATTTTCAAAAAGTCTTTAGAGCCTAACTTCTGCGATAAGATGCGAGATTTAGTGAACTGAGAATAATGAAGTTTAGCATCAGAAAGCACCTTTTTACATCGATTTCTTGCAATAATAAATAGCCGTTTTTTCTCAAGAGAGTTGTTCTTTTGAAAAAGATGAAAAAAATGATTACGATTGGATATAGCAGCCGCACAAGGAGAAAACCATGGAGTAGAATGAGGCTTGACTTGAAACTGACGCGAAGGAATAAAAGCTTCCATTCCAGCCTGAATCCAGGAGGTTACGTAGGAGGCGCATTTGTCAGCTGAGAGAAAAAAAACATCAGCCCAAGGACCATCACGAAGAAAATCAAGAAAGGAATCCCAGTCAGCTTTAGGGTAGTAGTAGGTGGTGCGATGATAAGGTGAGCCCAAAAAAGAAGTACGAGAAGAAAGATTTATAGAGATCATTGCATGGTCAGAACCACCTAAGGGAGAAAAGGGAGAAACTGAACATAAGCTAGGGTCAGAGACAAGACATAAGTCAAGGAGTGAAGGTAAATGATTAGGGTTGTCAGGAAAACGAGTCACAAAGTTAACTATCTGAGTAAGAGATTGAGAAACGCAGAAGTTAAAGGCTTTAGTGCCAGCAGGATCAGTGGTGTTAGAACCAAGCCATTCAGTGTGATGGGCATTAAAATCACCAACAACAACAATATTAACAGAGGGGTGAAGAGAGAGGGCATGGTCAATTTGATCAGAGATAACATCTAAGAGAGTGCAATCATGGGAAGAAGGAGAACGATAAAGAACAAAGAGAAAGGTGATAGAGTGAAGAGGTGCTAGGCGAAAGCACATAAAAGAATGGTCAAAGGATTCGAACCTGATTTCACGACAAATAAGGGAATTAATGCGTATGTATACCCCTAAACCAAGCATGTGAATATTTGAGTCTTTACGAATCAAAGGATAGTACCCATCAACACTGACATCTGAAGAAGGAATTGCAGAATTTAAATTTGTTTCACTAAGTGCAAGCAAGTCTGGTGAGTTTTGAAGGAGGTAAGACTCAACTGATGGAAAGTTGCTTCGTAGACCGCGAATATTTGTAAAAGATATATTAAAATATTTAGGAGGTGGGGATGGTTTAACAGGGACACCATCCATGCGCAACATGGCACTGTTAATACTCTGATATTTTGCAGCTGTTGATGGAATCAGCCTCTCTCAGAGCTACCACAGAGTTCGGGAAACCTTACTACCAGCCGGCTTCAGAACCATTAAACTGAGTTTTAGAGCTGTACCCTCATATGGAGATAACAGGAAGAGTTGCATAGCCATTATCAAGGAGGCATAAACAAAACTCTATGAGTAGAGTCAAGGAGATCCAGCATTCATCATCCTAGGCAGGAAACAATGTAACACAGTATACATCTACGCCAGCCTAATAGATGAAGAAGGGGTTCGAGGCTGGTTAGCAGAATTTTTCTGCTTACCCCTAAAGTCTTTGCCTAGGAGGCCTTCTACAAGACAGTAGCTGGATGCAGTTAATCTGCCCTAGATGCCCTAGATGAGTATTTTTATCGAGACACCATCTCTAGCCTTTACTCAACCAAGAGCCCCAAGGCAGGGGATGTTTAGCTGGATGCAGTTAACATCTGCCTAAGATGAGTGTTTTTATCGAGACACCATCTCTAGCCTTTACTCAACCAAGAGCCCCAAGGCAGGGGATGTTTAGCTGGATGCAGTTAACATCTGCCTAAGATGAGTGTTTTTATCGAGACACCATCTCTAGCCTTTACTCAACCAAGAGCCCCAAGGCAGGGGATGTTTAGCTGGATGCAGTTAACATCTGCCTAAGATGAGTGTTTTTATCGAGACACCATCTCTAGCCTTTACTCAACCAAGAGCCCCAAGGCAGGGGAATTTTTAGTCGGAGTTTATTTCTCCTAGCCTTTGCATAAGAAGAGCACACTCTGCAAGGCAGCAGAGCTTGTGGCAAGTGGTACTGGGTTACGTGATACCAGTAGCAAGATTGATCTCGATTATCCTGACCTGACCTGGTATGTATGTATGAAAGCATTAATAAATGCCTTCAGTGATTGCATTGTATTGTGATTGCATTGTATTTTCGTGATCAT